AAACCGGGTGGGAGAGGGGGTAGAAAATGACAGGAGAGAGATGGAGACGGGAAACATTCATCAAGCTGTCTGTGTGTACATGTCAGTGAGAAATCTTTTCTTTCTGTTCTTATAAGGACAAAATGTTCTCGCAATAATAGATAGATAAGGAAAGTACCACTTCTAAGAAATTAAATTTAGGACAGGGTTAACATAAAGGTTAAAACTGGGTGAATGAACAGATGTCTAATGAGAAAAATGCACTCAGCTGAATGTGAGAAAGAACAAGACAGCAGGGTGAATGAAAATCTCAAAGTGCCTGTCTCCTTTCTCTCACACACATATACACACAGCCAGGGGAGACAGGACCCTCACAGAGACGGACAGACAGAGCGAATGCGCAGTGGAAGGGCAGGTCGGCGAATAATGCCAAACTTGCGTCACCATTCCCAGACAAAAGCACAACCCGCCTCGCCAGCATCGCCCGGCTTTTAATGTCAACCAAAAGGACAACGATGCAAATGGGCCCCACTGTAACCTGCCGCTGCAGTGAGAGAACACACACACACACATATACACACACACACACAATGCAACAGGATATTTAGTGCCTCTGTCCAAGTGATGTATGCGGGGTTTTACTCTGCTCTTTCTCACATTCAAAGGGAGAAGGAAGCCAAGCTACAGCCTGAGTGACAGAACGGAGGATGTTGATGGCAACGTGGGAGATCAAAGGTAACTAATGAAAGGCACAGCTTCAGTGGTTCCCCCTGAGTTGTTGATGTCTTTCCCAACTCTGCTAACTGGAACCCCTCATGTTCATGTCATTTAGAGTTAAGAAGTGAGCAGATCTAGCAACATCATCCATTGCTTTGTCATCACATGTACTTTTAAGTTGTTTTTCTCCATCTCGAGCACCAGTAGAAGTCCATCCTCCAACAAGAGCTCAACTGTAGCAGACACTGTTTTAAAGGGAATCGCTGTATTGGAGGGCTTTCGGAATGGATATACAGTGCAAGCATGAGGAGCTTGCTGACATCTTACAATACACACACACACACACACACAATTACACACACCTGCACAAACGTCAAACATACAGACTCACACCTTGAGGCTTTTCTAAACATCATAAAACAGGGATGTGAGGACTGAATCTGTGCTTTAATTATTTATAGAGAATAATTCCACACTCTCTCTCTCTCTCTCTCTCACACACACAGAGGATGAGCTACACAGCGGTGTTGTGCGTACAGGCGGGATGCACTGATGCTCTGGTCCAATGGGATTTCCTGAGTTGTATGAATGACAGTCCCTCTGGGAGAACCTCAACGAGGCTCCTCACATCACCGTGAAGATGGGAGTTTCTGCATGTGTCACATAAACATGCGCTTTTGCAAAAATCATAGAAAAAAAAAACAACAGGGAAATGATGGATTAAAAAGGTTAAGCTTTTGAAGAGTCAGTATGAGGAAAAAAAATCATTTAAAATTCATGAAAGAAAAACAAGCTCTTCATGAGGATCATGACAAATGGCCACAACAAATCGTATCACAGTTTCCTCTTGAAATAAAAAAAAGATTTTGTTCACATTTGTATTTTTTTTCCCAGTAGACTATATCACACAGTGATAATGAAGAAAAGGAGAAAACTACAGCCACATTAGCTTCGTGCAAAAAACCACATACACTGGCACGCCGCATAGGCAAAGAGATCAAAGCAAGACAGAGCATACAAAAATATAGAAAATCTCCGATGCAACTCGTCTCTTCACAGAAAAAAAAACAAACTTTTCTGTATTTTCAACCTGCACCACTTCCTGCCAAACGCCTATCACCGAAGGATCACTTCAGGAACATTCTGTTTGCTGTTGTCACTGCTGCTGTGTAATTTTTTTTTTTTAGGACAACCAAAGTCCTCATGTCTTCCATGCAGGAATCCACAAAATCCCAAAAATATCCAGTAGCTTTATTTGATCATTATGGCAGATTTCCATCATAATGATGTTGGGAATAATATGAACAACAACATGTTGGAGTGATAGAAAACTAGTACAATAAAAGCATATCATTCCTGTCATATCATCTGTGACAAGTCTTTTTTAACTTTATTTTAAATTACATACTGAATCCTGTCACTTTTAAAACATTCCAGCATTTGCTCATAATTGCTTGTGACAGGGTTAAATTGTTTGGCATACTCAGCAAGCCATGCCCCAAAGGATGCTATTTTGTCTCTTGCAAAGGAGGAGAAGGGGTGCAGGTGGGGAGGGCAGGTCCCAGGATGCAGTGTCAACCTGCCCTCCCATGGGACGCGCTGTGTAGATGGCCGAGGGTTATACAGAACAGCTAAGATTACAAACCGTGCTCAAGACCAGGTCAGCCCATTAATTTCAGCACTTGCAAAACACATGCAAAGATAAGTCAGAGTTAGAACTCAGTCATTCTGTCTGCCAGGTAGGAACGGAGCTGGAAACTGGGCGTCATACCCATGGTTAACTTGTTGGACAGCTGTCAAACACTCCTGTTCTCATACTACTAAAAAGATTGTTTGGACGCTTTCAGAGAAAACAGTTGATAAAACAAATGGGGAGAAAAAAAAAAGTTACAAGGTGGAGAGGAGGAGCTGAAATGCTGCAAGTAAGGCAAAGACGGATGGTTTATACTTCAGTCAGAGGAGTGTTGATGTTAAAACTTCTCAGATGCCATGGTGGAGAGCTGTTGGAAAAAAGAAAATCCTCAAAAGATTTGGAGGGATTAAACACTGAGGTAAGAAGAGAGGAGTCACTGGTTGTTTGGCTCTACTGGCCTCTCCTCCTCCTCTTCATCCTCCTCATCCAGGGACACCACTCCAGAGGAGGCCACGTCAGAGACCCTCCTACGTGGGTCATAATTGGGCGGGTACTCCACCGCGTTCCCCTCCACCTGGCACACTGTGTTCTCATAGTCCTTGCAGGGGGTGTCATCATCCTCGCCGGGTGACAGGTATGTCTCAGAGTAAGACACAGAGTAGCAAGGGGAGTCCTGATCCCTAGAGGGTCTGATGCCCCGCCCTCCTCCGCCCAAGCTGTGAAAGCCACAGTCCCCCCCTCCGGGGCCGCTCTGCCCCACCCTCTGAAGTCGGGCCAGCAGCTCCTCCCCTCCCTGCAGTGCCGACAGGATCTTTGCAGCAAGCTCAGCAATGTTGCTGTGGGAGTGTGTGCCACGGTGGCCGCCCAGGTCACGCAGCAGCAGATGGTGGTCATCGAGGCTGCAGAGGCTAGAGCCCAGGGTGTCTGGGGAACCTGCTGTGGGTGAGGGCTCACCACTGCCACCTCCCTCTCCGCCTCCTCCACCACCCTCAGAAGATGGCCCCCTCAGGCCCAGGTGTTGGCAGAGCTGGTTGTGGATCAGGTCCTTCAAGTAGGGAGGATATGATGGCACATCTAGAGGGAATGATACAGACTGTGAGCATGAAGTCCTGAAGGAAGAAGAAACAGCAAACAGGGAAGCACATCCTTAAATAATGTATAACCAGCCAGTACAGTAAACTTCAATTTTTACTTATCTAAAAGTGTACTCTGTGGAGGTTTTGACCACTAGTGGTGCTTTAGAGCAGGTTTCTTCTTTCGTTGTGTTGCTTTACCAACACTGATGTCTTGGCCTGAGACCTGTACTACAAAGTGAGTTCAACTTCTTCTGGCTCTCTTGGTGCCACCTAGCTTCACTGAGCGCAACCTTGGCCGTCCTGGATAGCCAGTACCATGAAGCCAGTTATCAACTAGCTCTGTTAAATCTGGGTTTTCTTATGAAGTTACAAGCACATTCACGTGAAAGAGGTGGAGTCAAAGCATCAGCACCATGACTGAAGTAGGCAGGATAAGTTACTGTTGTGATCTAGGCAATTTAAAAGTGAGATAGCTTTGCGGTACCAGAAAACAGAGCTGAGCCCAGAGTTAGCTGGATAAACCACTAATCTTGCTTTGTGGTACAGGCCCTGGTCTCTCATGAAAATGAGATTGGAAACCTCAGTGGAATCTTACCTGAAAGAAATGTGAGATACAAACACGACACCTGTTAAACGTTTTCATGCTCTTCCTCCTGCTGGATACTCGGTAGCAGTGACACAAGATACATGCATCAGCAAAAGGCAGATAAAATGAAGCCTGCCAGCTGGTAAACATGGTGGTAAACAATGCATGTTTGGAAAATCTGCTTTACAGAAAACTTATGAAGAAAGACATTCAACATTTAGTTAATTTGTTAGACCTCAAAAATATGTTCTGCTGTAAATGCAATGCAAATTTAACTCCACAGGGCACCTTTAAGAAAAATAGTTTTGCTCTGTTTTTACATCAATAAACCAGACTAATTTAGGTCAAACAGACAAAATTGTCTTTTGTATTTTGAAAAATGAAAATATGTGAAAAATAAAAATACCAAGATTCAACTCAATTAAAATAAAAACTTTAAGAACAAAAACGTGCCACAACAGAAAAAGAAAACTGAAAACAGCAAAAGAAACTGAAAATCACCCACCGCATTAAAAGGGATAAAAAAAAATATCAGCAATGGGAATTAATGAAAATGTTAAATGGAGAAGAATATAAATATTAAACATAAATAGTATGAAAATGTAACCATACTTGAATATTTTGTAAAAATACAGTAAAAGTCGAAACATGAAAAAAAGTCGACATGTCGAAACAATTTGATTGTAGCAATGAAACCACTTATAACATCAAAATGCTATTTTGTGGCTTATGAGGTTGACAATATGTGACCACAACCAACAAAAAGTCAAAAAATAAAGTTTTAATAACAAGGAACTGGTTTCATGTTGAGTTCATTTTCTCCACATACATGCATGGATGTGTGTGAAAGTCAGATCACTATTTTGTCTTTGTCACAAGGTATGAAGCTATAGGTGTATAAATGAAAATTCAGCAGCAACATGCAGCTGAATGTTATGAGCTACAGTACAGTGCAATCAAGATGAAACGTTTGGTACACACACACACATGCACAGTGTATTTATAACCCACCCAAACATCATCCTCCCATAGACACAGTCTGTGCAGCAAAGGAAATCATATTAAACTTGAAGGTGGGATGTCAAATTGCACCAGAAAAGATTGTTAGAGGATGAAAACTAGGGCACTGGGACAATGTAAGATAGAGGATGAGGATGAGGCTGTGGGATGGAGTAGTAAAAATGAAGGGGACAATATGAAGACAAACATGATGGAGCTTTGCCACAGCTACTGCAGTGTAGCGGTTCATTGTGTGTGTATCTGCATACCTGTGCTCTGCGTGGCGGGCTCGCTGGCAGGACAAAAGTCTTCATCATACGAGTCATCATTGGATTCGTCGCCATCCACAGAGGACCAGGCCCTCAGCTTAGCCTCTGCAATGGCAAACTGCTCGGCCACACCTGCGGACACGCGCACACACGCATGAGCTGCACAAGCAAATACATGGTTGGCATGGTAACTAGAAGGCAGCGGTCCATTGTCTCTCCATGTGATATGACTGTTTTTGACTGGCAGGTCTCTGTGAGGAACAAAGTGCACAGCGTAGAATGAGACTGGACAGAGACAGCATTCCCATTAGAGTCAATGCTCTTCAGCAGCCATTTAGCTGGTGAACTTAAGATGGCCGTCACTGGTATGACAATTCTGACATGCTAGACTCAAGCTGCAACCTGCAAGGCTGAGATATGAAGCCAGTACGGAAGTGTTAAAACATGCAGATCCTCGAATGCCCAACTTTACAGCAGAAAAACATTTTTACAGCCTGGTAAAAAAATAAGTTTTGGTCTCTATAGCTAATTTCCCCTTCTAAGACAACTGTATGGGGGGGTGAATTTTTATCTAACTTGCCCATTCGAATTATATTAATGCTTAAAATTATGCATAATTAAAGGCGTGGCTGCTTTGAGTGACAGACGGGAGGGTCTGCCATAGGTGTCAAGTGGCCCACCTCAGCTCTCTTCACCCATTTTGCCCATTTCTGGATTAGGCAGAGTGAAGCAATGCCAAGATGGCAATGGCCAGATTTGAGCTTCAAAACTGCCCTTCAGAAAACCAGAGGGTAACGTCATGGAGGGTTTGTACATCTTTTATGCACGATCAATGGCTAATCTCCCACATGCAGCACTGGTCGTCATTTGCTATGACACACTATACGGGGTAAAACGGTCGTCACATTTAACACCCATTTTTGGTCACAATGCCCCACAGCTGTCAGGTCGGATGGTTATCGAGCTAAATCGCGTAGTCTGAACCCGGTATTAGATACATGTACATGTAAAACACAGCCACAGTGAGCACATCAGTGTGCGTGCGTGTGTGTGTGTGTATTTGGCTAAGGTGACTCAGCATGCACCAAAACCAGCCAGCTACAATATCCCAGAGACCACTCCAATCATCGTTGGGAGCTGACCAATCAGAGACTAATACTCTCCCTCTCTTTTTCATCCTCTTCTTCCTCTCAATCCATGTTTTGTATTCCTCCCGGTTCTTCCTCTCTCTTTAATGTCACGCCTATCTTCCAATCGACTCTTTCAATAAACACCATCGACTCACCTGACTGTATTCATTCCTACCATTCCCTATTCTTTCTCTGTGCAGTCTTTCAGCCTTGTCCCTCACTTCTCCTTTTGATTTCTAGCTTTCTGACTCACTCCTCAGTCTCCTTCTCTCTATGGTCAATGCTCAGTATTCATACGTTGTCTCCCACCGAGAGAGATCGATGCTCTCATTCATCTTCCACTGTAGCTGGGCCCTGAACTCTCCTCACCAACACCAGTACATCAAATGCAAAGTCTGCTCTTTGGTTCGCTTTGAAAGCTTTTCTTTTTTTTTTTTTTTTATTCCTTTGACTCTAGAAGAAAAACGTTTCACCTACATATACATACTTATGTCACTGACCAATGTTCTACACGAAAACATCCTGCTCTTTTGTCTGTATGACCACAACATCATTCCCAGCAGCAGTGCAGGAGGTAACCTGGCTTAAAGGCAATGGTAAGAATATTTTAACAATATTATTTGATGACCATTTAAATTCACTTTGTTACATGATAGAAACATACGGTTATTTGCACAGATATATCAATAACAACAGTAAAGGGTTGAAAATACTGACTAAAATCACTCACCACTTAACCACTCACTGTATAAACCACGAACAGGCTTGAAAGAATAAATCAAATCAAAATCAAGGCTCCCACAAGTGAAGCCACGGCAAATCAATTACTCCCCAGTGGTTGGTCACAGTCTAAATCCTGCCTTCTCCATGTTGGTGGATGAGACATGAACCACACTAAAACCTCAAAGTACAAATCAAATACATTTTCCCCAGAGGTGGTTTTTGGTAGATATCATAATGCTGATTTGTATACAAGTGGTCATTTTTCTGGTAAGTTTGTTTTTATTAAGTTACTGATGATATAAAAAAGGAGGTTGAATTGACAGCTTTGATTGGCCGTCTGATGCCGTCACTCCACTTTTGTTCTCTACTGTGCAGAATCTGGTTGCAAAATAGCAAACTGGCAAGTCACTGTATTCGCGATATTTTGGCTTCACTGTTGCATAGTGGAGGGAAGTGGTGATGCCACGTCCATCGTATGTAGTCAGTGGTTTTAACCCTAACCATAAACTGTGCTTGTAACCCCACTCTGCCAAAAACATGCTCACTATGAAGTGTTGAAAGTCTTTTGCTCTCACGTTTGTTTCCATTCCTTGTGTAGACTTCGCACTGACTGACGTTCATTCACTCGAGACTAACCCTTTCCATAACCACTCGCCTAAACCTAACCTTAAAACCATGTTGTCACTCTAAAATTAAATGGTTTACTTGCTGTTTACCATGAGGAAGTCGAGTCCCCACAGTGTGAGTGAGCTCCCAGTTTCAGGTCCCCCAAAGCATATAACAAGGCAACACATGCGCTAAGATTCTACAGTAACTTAAGACAACTTTTTCTGAAGGTGTCTGTTGTATGTACTGCGCTGTGGCCAGCTGCCTTGTGTGTGAAGTATCCCTGACATTTTAAATACAGTGGTCTTCAGTTTTACACTTGTCAGTTCTTATGTTTTTGCCATGAACATTTATTTAGTTGGAAGCCAAGAGTAACCTTGTGCTGATGAAAATGGAGCATCTTGTTTTTAAGGCAAGGTGCCGACAAGTTTAATCTCCTTATGACTCCATTTTTAAGAGTAACTGCAGAGTTGGGTGATAATTCTCTTAAAAATACCGATTACAGCCACTTTGGGAACAACTGATGTAGTTTGAGTGTCTGTCAAAGGTCACTGTCACAGTCTGTGGCACTATTGACTATTGCCGTCACTTGTAGCAAACACACTTTCAGACCTAATGCCAATTTCACATTGTAGGTTTTCCAACAGAAATGTTTGCTGCTGGGTTAGTTTAAATCTGGATTCACCAGGCCATATACACCTCTGCTGCACCGTCACACTGCTGTGCACCAGAGACTGGAATAGTGCCACTCGAATACACACACACACACACACACACACACGTGTGCTCTCCACAAGCTCTCTCACTCTGTCTCTTTCATTCATACACCCTCACACACCGACATAAGCCTCTCTCTGTATCGCTCAAGGCTGGCAGCCAGTTTCATGTGTGTGTTGACAGAAGTCAGTCTATAAATACGACAACCCCAAATGCATTTTCAAATCTCAGGATGCCTCATACACACACACACACACACACACACACACACACCTTTACATTGACTTAAAATTCATTTCCTGGAAGCTTACCGTAGCCTTAACCATAATCACTACTTGTCTAATCTTAACCCTTACTTTAACCTCACCCTAACCTTGAACCAAACGGGGAGGTGGATCCCAATGTTCGGGAGCCACCACCTTAAACCAAGTCAGGTGGGGATCAAATGCTTGTCACCATAGCGCAAGTGTGTAAACATGTTTCGGTCTCCACGATGTGAGCTATGTTATAAACACACACACACACACACACAGACCTATAGAAAGACAACTATAGGTCACTCTGACATCATGCATTCCCTAGTTCCTTATCCTAACCTCAACTCCTGTGTTGTCTTCAGTGTCAAAAAATGACCAGTCACAACTTTAACGGCATTGAAAACACCCTAAATAATCTTTTTTCAATCTTTGTTCTTGTTCAAAAACTATTAATTGGGGCTTTGAGGGCAACATTTTTAACAATATGCAAGCCTGGTGTTTCAAAATGAAGAAACCTGTCACCCAGCAGTGTTTCACTGATGTGCTTTTAATCATTTTTTTTTTTAACAACAGTGGCGGTCTAAGTGGTGAGGATCAGCCAAAATGTCCTCAGCAATGACATGAAACAACAATTTGTCCACACAGTGTAATAAAGACGTGTACACACAGGCATGCTCTGCTGTAACTAGCTTAAGTATCCACCCAAGACTCACTTCACACATTTGCATATGGTCGCTTTATGTACTATCACGCTCGCTGACATTCACACAGTGTATCCAGTCACCTACAGTAAATGAAACTCCGGGCTACAAGGAGACAGGTAGCAAAAAGAAGAGGACTCAGCACAAATGGCAGCTCCCAGATGGGGTGGATGCATGGTGATGATGTAAGATGATGGGACGAGGGAACTATAATGTATAGTAATAATGCTTCACCAGCCATTCTTGGGATTAGTCCCTGTTTATGTGCCATTTACAATAAACAAAAAGACTTAATGACATGACACACATGGCCAGGTTCAAGCTGTTGTAGTGCTCTGAAGAATCATTGAGTCATTTGAACTTTGCCATGTTAATAAATCAGCTTGACTGAATCATCATTACAGATGCACATAACCAAAAGATACTGAACTGGATCTTACTCCTGCTGTGATAACAGCACAATCACAAAAGGAGAAGTTGTGTAAAGAGCTAGATAGTAGAGAGGACAGAAATGGGAGAACAGAGGAAAATTGCTCAGTCACAGTGGCACCAGCCCAGAGCAAAACCTTACTGTGCAAATTAACCTTGAGAGTCTGCATTGCAGGGAGCGAGCGGGAGAATGGAGGGAGAGCAGGCAGGAGGGACGGGGTGGAAGAGAAGGAAGAAGGAGACAGAGACAAAGAACAGAGAGGAAAATAAAAATGAGGGGACGGTGTGAATAGAAGAGAGTAAACAATGAGTAGAGGGGGCAGGCATGAATGCAAAAAAGTAAAAGATGAGGCGAGTCAGTAAAGACAGAGGGGGAGTAGTGCATTGAGAGGAACGCCACCCATGGTGGAGAAAAGAGCTAAGAATGAGACTATAAAGCTACAGAATGAGGCACCGTGTTTACACCTGGTGTTAGCATGTATCTCGATATCGACATCTGTCATTGCTGGCTTTTTTTTTTGTCTCAGTTCTGCTGCACTGTGGTCAAATTTCAACATTCAAAGTAGGTAGGAGGGAGTCAAGTCACCCAGGTCCAGTGAACAATGCTGTTATATTGGTTCTGTTGTTTCGCCAAGGACGGGCTCGTCCAGAGGTCTTTGTCGTACAGCTCAGAAGTTAGACATGACATTAAGAGGCCTTTCAACTTGTCGGGTGGATTTAAAAAGGAACCGTCCATGAATCATGTGTCCAATGTCGAAAAGTGTTTTCTGTGGCTCTAGAGGAGCTTTGTCAAGTCAACCCTGATGACATCATAGCACTCAAGCTGGCAACATGCACTCACGCTCGAGCCCCACATAGTTCCAGCTTGACTCTCAATTTGTACCTGACTCAGACTGCAACTGTTGCTCATGATTATCTCTGCAAAGTGGTAGAGTCAGAAAATTTTGGACCTTCAGAATTAAATTGCCTTAGAGCTTTTCATTTTGACCACTTTGCCTTTTGTGAGCGCCCCCACTTTTATAGAACAACAGTACTAACTAGGTAGCACTCAGAGAATGCAAACCTCCACCAAGGAGGCGCACTGTCCCCATAATGCCATTATAATTAAAAGCAATATTCCCATGATAGTTTGACGTTCACAATGCGACTCCTTGACCATGAAAACCTACCTCTAGCATTTGGAATTACACTGATATCATTATTAATTTGAAAAAAAAAAATTAAGAATAGTTCATTAATGACAGTTTTCTTCATGGTCTATCTCACTAATTTTTGAAGATACCACAAATTGTTGACACTCCACCAAATCACCTGCTCAATTTTAAATGTTTGCTTTTGTTATGTTTTCATTTAATTAGGATGCCCTCTGTTTTCATGAGTCCTCCTGCCCTCGGTGTCTGAGTCAGCTCTTCATTGTATTTGTTGTTCAACGGTAAGTGCACATTCAGAAACTCTCTTCTAGCTTCAGCTCTGAGTGTAGCAAAGCAGGGTGGTTTTTCATGCAATATTTATGTAACAAACAAGTCACTCAAATAGAAAAGAGAAGTCTTACCGGCAGCAAAGCGAGCCTCCTGTTCGCCCTCCGTCAGGTCGGAGTAAGAGTTGAAGTCAGATTCCAGAGCTGCTGGGGTGTCTATAGGCTTACACCACCCTTTCCACTCAATCAGATGGGCTACTCTGCCCTGCGCCATGGCTGTAGGCTTTGTCACATGGTCCTTCACTACCTGGGAAATACCTACAAGACAAACATTAGGGTTTAAGCTACAGCACAGTCTTGTAACGATTTATCTATAGAGTGTACAAATGCTTATGTTTGTATATCAAGTGTATCCAGAAACTTGTTTTTGAATTCAGTGTTGCACTCACCATGCAGGGAGGATCGCGCTAATGCAGCAATCTCTTGAATAGTGAGAGCTCTTCTTGATTTTGGTAACATTTCAATGGTGTCATCAACATTCACCTAAAACGACAAGACAGACAAGTGTGACTCAGAAGAA